GAGAGAGAGAGAGAGAGTGTGAGAGAGAGAGAGAGAGGAGAGAGCGAAAGAGAGAGAGAGAGAGAGTGAGAATGAGAGAGAGGCCAGGGATACATAGGGGTACATAAGGGTATATAGGGATATGTTGGGTTCAGGGCCTCGGATTCAGGGTTTAGGGGCCTGAAGAATGAAAATTGATCACCAGATCCAAGAACACATGGAAATTGGGATTTTGAAGGAGTTGTATTGTTACCTTCCCCTACGAACACATCCAGGGAAATCGTGTACGGAGGGCTGGCATATTGTTTTTTTTGTTGGGTGAAGGGGCAGCTGGGGAGATTAGAGGATTATTAGGAAGGAGAGGTGGCAAGTTTGAGCAACTCCTGTGGGATCCTGTTGACTTTCTGTGAAGGATACCACATCCAAACCAAGATGCTTAAGAGAAGCAACTTGTTTGATCTAGACCGCAAACAATCATACCTCACCTTCAATCCCCCCGCAACGCCTCTCCACCACTACCCCTCAACCCTCCCAAATGTCACCCTCGATGTCACCCTGGGCAGATGCCTCCACCAGAATTGGCACATCCAAACTCATGGGCCCTGAGCCCAGGAGCTCCCCGATGCGAGGCGATTCCTCTGCAGACTCGACCAGCGGTTTAAGTGGGGGTTTCCCAATATTAGGGGTACCCTGTTTGGGGGTCCCTATAATAAGGACTATATTATACTGCGTCTATATTGGGGTCCCTTTGGGAAACTACCAAGTTGATTTAAGCCTAAAACCTGAACTCTAAGTTCTTCGTCACAACTAAGCTCCAAGCTCAAGTGCTTAAGGGTGGCATCGAGGTGGGTTCAGGAGTTAAACAAGTGTTTCAGCTTGGCTTCTCTCGACGGGGCTTTGGGGCGTGCGCGCAGGCATGAGTTGCTGAAAGCCTGCGACTGAGTCTTCCAGCTCTCTCCTGGCGAAGAAGAGCAACGATGTCCCTAACACCCAGGCCTTAAAGCCCGAAACCCTAAGCCCAAAACAGGCCCTTCACTTCCACCTCATGTTAAAGTCGAGCCTTGGATTCCATGGCTTATCTTCAAGGGCGTGCCACTCATGTATGGGGCTCTACGGGTATTATGTTTTCAAGATATGAAGCTATTGGGTTTCGATGTATCCGCCACAGTGCAGGACCCCTTTCATGAAGCTTAATCTCGGTTAAACAGCGTCATTCAAGCACATACCCCTGAATTGATCAGATGACTTTAGGACCTCAACCCTCAAAATTAGGGACCGGTGAATCATAGGATGCTACTTTGGGGAGTTGGTGTAGCCAAAACTCCTTTTTTAGGGAAATGCCCATTTGTGAACAAACCCTATGCGTTGCCTCCTCCTGTGCCTCTCTCCGCGCTGCGCCAACGCCTTCGCTGAGAAGTGCAATCGCAGCTGAGGCGCCTCAAAGTCAAAGGTAGGTTGGACGGTATCCTGAGTCCTGAGACTGACTGACAATCCTCTCCCCCTAAGAAGGAACCGCCGTACTCTGACAATGAACACTCGCAATCTAATGCAGCCATGCGCTAGGGGAAGGTTGGTTGTAAGGACAGTGGGTGGTTCTCTCTTTCGTGGAGGGGAGTATATCAGCCTCCTGTTTTGAGGGGGGGGGGGGGGGNNGGGGGGGGGGGGTGAAAATTGTGGACTCAACAGTCCCATAAGGGATTCTTGAGCTTGAGTGAGGGGGACCCATGACCATGATGGAATCTTGCTGGGATGATGCTGTTCTTCAGTTCTATCCGTGGCCTCCAAGAACAGCTCCGTGTGTGCACTGCGCACCGATGTTTCCCGGAACTGCACCTGGGTCAGATGGCTATTTGGGGTCTCCATACATGAGGGGTCCGTTTTGGTAGTCGCACGAACAAGGATCGTACTCGTTGGGGAAAGGCCGATTCAACAACTTGGGGAGCCTTGGGCTAACCTCCAAAGGTATCCGCCTCTACGACCCATGTCGGAAATGTTCGGAACCACCCCACCGACATTTTGCGCTGTTTCTTGCCTCGTTTCGGGCTGAATGAACTGGCAGTGCGTCCTGGCAAAAAATCTGGCTCATGCCCTGGAATAAGAGCCTGGGATTATGTGCATTGCTACCTGTGCCCAGACAGTGGGCCTAGCCAACACCTACGTGTATGGGCCCGAGCATTTTCATGTTTAAGTGATTGACTGCTGAATTTGCGTCAGACTCCCTCAGAAAATTTGGATGCTCAGCCTGAAACGCTACCCCCAACACCCAATCCATGCAAACAAAACTTCTCCTCCCAACAAAACCACTCCCAGCCCCTGCTGCACGAACCCCCGACAAAGCGCCTTCGCCAGTGAAGAGTATACGCCCCTCCGGTCTCCTCGGAAGCGGCTACTTGTGCAAAAGGCAACCCCTTCCGTTCAAAGGGGCATAGGGACACATTAAATTCAGCTTAGGGTTTAACAGTGTACTCTGTAATATAGTCCTGGCAGACTTAGAATTTGAGCCCCTACTCCAAGCAACTATTGAACAACCGTTTGTTTCCAACCACTCCGAAACAAATGGGACCTGGAAGAGTCAGAGTCCTCATTTTGGGGTTGGAGTAACCAGTCACCCCCTTGTTACCCTGAAAACACGAATTCAATCCCATCCCCTAAATGTTACACTCCCTGATATTAGATGTTCCCATTGCAAGCTATTCTGTATCTGGAGTATCTAGTGTTAGGTGCTTGGAGGGGACTAACAACAAACATGTCACACGCGTTGCGGGCTAGGGTCGCGTACACATCCCGGTCGTCCTCCGTTGCTCTGGGATCTTGAAACTCAGTATAGGCTCCTGCCAGGACCGTTGTGAGTTGGTGACTTGAAGCTGTAGTGCTCAGGTCTAGAACTGGGTTGGCCAGTAAAACCTTTTTGAAAGTAATTCGTATATATGGTTCCCTATTGAAGCCAGTAGGGAAAAAATGTCCCAGGGGCATGTACCCAACGAATTCTGTCTAAGCTTTATTGAAGGTTTGTAGAAATCTGTCTGGCTAGAGCCGCCGGCTTATCGGATCTCTGTCAGCGCACGCAAATCCCTCCCCCAAAAAGGGCAAGTTCCAAACCTCCAGTTGACAAGTCACATGGTAGCCCCCAAAAATGTCCTTTTTGGCTCCCTAATTTCAGGCGTGCCTTAGTTCATCGGGCTATCGAAACAACATCGCAATGTTGAGAGCCTATATAACCCCTATAAGCCCCTTTAAAGGGTTTTCCTAATTTTGGGAAAACCCCCCATGTGAATTTACGAAGCCCGCACTTGCATCTGCGAAGGCTCCTAGCGCAAAAGGATCCAGGGACCAGCGGGTGACCTTCCACAGCGCTGGGAAAGGCACCATATCCTCAAGTAATAGTAATAGTAATTAGTAATAGTAATAGTAATAGTGATAGTAATAGTAGTAATAATTAGTAAGAGTGATAGTACTGGCAAAAATATTAATACTAGTGATAGTGATAGTAATGGTAATAGTACTAGTAAAAGTAATAGTAATAAAGAAACAGGAACTGAGTCGTGTGCACTGGTGGCTGAGCCAGGGGGCATTGCGTTCTGCAGATAAAACGCCACAACCAAGAGGAGGACCCTAAACCCTAAACCCATTGAAATACTACTCAAGTGGCCCTTGCCTTCTGAGATTCAGAGGGGGATTTGGCTGGATTGACTGGATGATCGAGTGTTTGCTTCAGTGTCTGAGGTGATGGGGCTCAGATGTTCTGATTCTCCGACTTTTCTCAGGGACCTGATCTGAACTGCACTCAAATGCAATTGCTTTTGCCGCTCCAAACTGACATGAAACCCCAGATAATATGTCCCCCTTCACAAGCTTCTGTAGTCTCTGTTATAAGGCGTTCTTGTGGGTTCCATGTCACTTGGGGGAAGGGGGTAGAACCAGGGTTTCAACCCCCGCCCTTCAACTCTGAGCCTTTGGCTTGGGGTTCAGGATCCACACTTTTGAGCAAACTTGGCCATGGGCTAGGAATGGACGTATCAGAAGAACTTCACAAGAAGTTAAGCCACTCGCCTGCGGGGATACCGCTCTACATGCATGATTTTGAGGGACCGACTGCTGTTTGCCTTGCTGTCTGAGAACGCTCAAGATACAAAAGGCCATCCAAACCATACTTCAACCTGGCATTTATGCTGAAGGCCTCTGGAAAGATCTTGAACTAGACTTAACAAATCACAAGCCACACCCCAGACCTCTTCCCCCTGACCCAAAACCCGATCCTGCTGCTCGCCACCAATCTCTGAACCTGGCTTTCTCGGAAACATTGCGCGCAGCCTGCAGCCCATGCGTTCTGCAGTCAAGCTTGCCGATACAGTCAGTGGACCTGAAACTCTGTTAAACAAGGAGCCATCAAAGACATCCACCAGGATCCCAGTGTTAATGTTCCTCTTGTGACCACTCAACATCATGGCTTGCTGGGCGCGCACGGTCTCTGTGACTCTCGGTAGTGAAGAAGATAACCACGAGGGGCCAGAAGGTTAACCTACTGGAGTTTCCACAGAAGAGGGGTACAGTCATGTATCCCCATGATTTTGAATCAAAGTCCTCACTCATTGATTATAGGAACTGCAAAACGGACCCCTTCGTTTGAGGGAAAACGAGTGGAGGCAGGAGACTGGCGAACCAAAGACAAAGATCTCTGCAGATGCTCGTGGTTTTGTATAGGTGCGAGTAATCCCCTCCCCCTAATAATAAACCCCCCAACCCCCTAATAATAAATATTATTAGGGGGGTAGGGGGGTTTATTATGAGGGGGAGGGAATTAATTGATAGCCTGGTGGCCTTGCACGAGCAATCTGCTGACTGTTGATTGGAGACGGGACAAGCGTTGATTGATTGAAGCGCGAACTCTCAGTTCAAGCCTATGAATTTGAAGGTGCTTTTGACAAGGTACTCCTTCTACATGTAAGACCCCTGATTCGGTAAGAAGATGTTCTCTAGGGTTCCCTTAACTTACTATGGCCATGTGGAAACTCCAGAAGCCAACATCGCAAGGCTAACTCACCAATCTCTGCACAAGCCGCAAAAGCTCGAACTGGCGGCAAACTCTGTTCAGACTCTCCCGCCAAGTAGCCCACAAATAACCTCCTTGACCACCTCTTCATCACTCAAGCTGGCATGCTCCTTGCCAAGACAGAATGCTGTGGTGCTCTGAGTCAGAAACTTTTTGACATTAAAACAAGACAACTTCCGTGCCAAGAACTCATGGCAAAGAGCTACCCGAACCTGATACACCCTTGAGTGTAGGGCAGCATGCCTTTGTATGCTATCCCTGGATCATCTTCAGAAACCCACAGGATTATGATTATGAGAAAGACTCGCATCCTCCCAGTTGGAGTCGCCCCAGATGTGGCATAGCAACTGGCCTTCCATGCATCTGGAGCTTCAGGCTCAGGGTTAAAAGCTTTGTGATATTGTGAGGGGTACGCACGCTTTGGAGGCACAGGAGTTTTGCCAACTATATATCGAAAACTCTTTAAGCGCATGGCTTCGGGGTTCACCGGTTTGGCCACATGTGCTGTAGCACATGTGCTGTAGCACGAAGTGGTTCGCGAGAGGACCCCCAGACATTCATAGGCAGAGCCCAGGATAGCAAGCTCGATGGGTACCGCCAGAAGCCCGTAGACCCAAAACCCTGAAACCCCAAAACCATGAAAGCTCACTCTTCAGCCCCGAACCTGCAACGCAATTTGTCACCAGGATTTCTTTTCAGACTTTCGGGTTTAGAGTTTAGAGTTTGGCTTCTGAAGCACTCTTCTCGTTTAGCGAGACGGTTAAAAAAAACAGGACGTCCACGACAGAAGCCTGAAACAGAAACCGCAAGATTGTATCACAAACTGCCGGACGATCAGACTCTGCACCTTAATTATGCCCCACCCCTGCCCGTGCCCTAGACTACTGCCGACATGAGCCCAGACATGAGCCCTGGTTCCTGATTGGGATAACAAGCCTAATGCAGCAATAACTGCGTAAATATATCATCGATTTTGTCAAAATAACAAGCAAGAACAAAAACATTCCAGGTGATGACCCAAATCAACATCCCATATTTCGCCCGAATTGTCCTAAAGCAGGCTGAGTGAGTCTTTAGGGAGACGCTTCGATGATTCAGCTCCCTAAACAGCAGGGAGGTGCTACACCCTTTAGGGGTTATGTTTAAAGCTTCGGGTGCTTAATAGGGCAGGATGGGATGTGGGACAAATCCGGGTCATGATATAGGACCAGCAAGCTCAAGCATGAAGTGGCAGCGGTTCCTTCTCTGCCGTACTTGTGCAAATTGAGGAAGTGAAATCTCTGGTCCGTTGTCTCGAACTGCAGAGCCTTGCTGAAGTCTAGAAAACGGATCGAGGATTTATGATTGGGCTGATGAACGTTGGAGGCTGGGGATTCGTTCAATGTTTCCTCAAGTTGTGAGAAAAGACTCAGGGTTTTGCGAAGGGTCTGTTTTCGGGTTGGATCCTTTCTCTTTACACAAGCTAGCCCGCCTCAAGCAGAGGCTACTCCGTCCTTCTTTCGTCCCTCTGTGAGCAAATTCAACCATGTCTTACTTGTTCACCTGTCATGAACCAGGCTCCACCAGGGACTACTAGGATCGAGTCAGGCTAGGGGGTTCTTGTTTCGAAGTTTGTCCATGCTCGGGAACCCTCATTTAAACGGTGAACCTTTCGGATTCGGCTTCCGTGAGAGGCGCATGTGTATGACGGCCGCCGGCAACATGAGCGTTTGTTGATCGTTCTGGATTGCTCGGTGCAATTTGGATGCATCAATGCACGGGTACCCGAACACGCAGCCTCTCTTAATCCGTGCTGCCACCTCTAATACGATGCGGCGCCTTGCATATCATGACTTTTGTGCTCGAACGACCTTACAGGTGCCTAGCCAGGACATGGCTTTCCTTAGAGGTCTCAAGGATTTTGGGCTTTGGCGCATTTCGACGAGGATTGATTTTCTAGTATACTGCCTGGACGTATATGCCCGTTGGCCAAGTTCTGGAAAAAAGACCATCTGTATCCCCAGTTACCTCTCTGTCCCAGGTTCCCCAAATAAGGATCATACTCAGGAAGTATCCAGGGGCCCCTCACTGTTGAATATCAACCTTGCGCTTCGCTGATGGCTGAGCCCCAACAAGAATAAAGACACTACGTATATGGATGTTCCAAGCAGTTCCCCTTACAATGCCCCAGCCCCAAACTCTTAATGCCTTTCTTGCGGCTGTGGAGCTGCTCCATCCGCTGCCAGCACCTGCTGAGGGTTCAGAGTTTGGGGGGAAAGGGTGGAAGGGTTTTAGGTTTTGGGGTTTCAGGGTTCAAGGGTTTCAGGGCTAAGCGCTTAAGGGTGTAAGGGCTCAGGGGTGAAGGATTCAGGCTTCAAGGCTTCAGGCTTCTGTCTTCGGAGACTTGGTCACGAACTCGCCCTGGCATCCTTGACGGATCTTCCAGCTTAAGAAGTTGAAGCTTATCAGGGCCCCATCTAGTAGGTGACAAGCTTCGGATGAAGCCCGGTGAAACAGCACGTCTTTTCAGCGAGCCTTTGGAATCCTGAGCTGAACCAAACGGAATTTGAGCGGGGTCCTCCTTATACGAATTTCAGCCACTCCCAAGAAGGGACTCAAAACACTGTTTTGGGCCGAGACATGTTAGCAGCGCTGCAGCACCTTCGCCACAAAGGGCGTCGATACAGGCCAGCGAAGGACCACCTTTAGGTGCAGTTGCGACATGCATGACAACCAAGCAGATGTTCTGAGAACTCTGATAATGCGAATTGCACAGAGTGTTGTGGCGGCGGCGGCGTTAGCAGTGGCGGCGGTATTCGGCGGTGGCGGCGGCAGGGGCGGGGGCAGTGGCGGTGGTGTCGGTGGCAGCGGCGGCGGCGGCGGTGGCGTAGTTGTGGTGGTAATTGCAATGAGAAACAAAACAAGTGCCGTAGTCGCCGTGGGACTGTGAATTAGAAGAAGGGTAGCAGTGGTGGTAGGAGTGGCCGTAGCAGCTGCAACAGCAGCAGCACTAGCTGCAAGAAGAGAAGAAAAGGACGGGTAGGAATAGGATCAGTGGCAGTCGCAAAAGTAACATGTTGAGCACTGGTAAGAAGAGCAGTTGAAAATCTAATCTAGCTCACGCCACACTTCTGAAGCCCTGTTGCTTCAACCTCACGTTCACCTACCTTACTTGCGGCTTTGCAGAGTTCGTGTACATGTTCAGCCTGTCTAACCTAGTACGGGTTATGTTCCACCAAGATCGCAGCTGCTTGCAGATATCTCAACAACCCTGAGTTACTGGGATGAGGGGTAATGAGAGGACGGGCGTAGGTATGGGTGGTCTGCCTGAGTACAGTGTACAGATGTAAGCAGGATGGAAGAACCGCATCCTAGTCCACGAAGGCTGTTAGATCCCGTCCTGGACCAGCCCTCGACTTCTCTTGTTCACAAACTGCCAGAAGCCTAAGAGAATCTTTGAACCCAACACATCAGTTGAGTTTCCCGTGTGCTAAAGAGATGTGGTTACTAGCCGGTGATCTTCGAACCATTACAGAAGGTGCAAGATCAGCACGTTTTCAGGACTACTTCTGCAAGCCTCAAGAAAATTCAAGAACCCGAATTACATTTCTACACCAAACCCTACTTCAAACCCATAAGATACCTACAGCTTCAGGACCTCAAATAGGGTTGTATACTATAGGGTCCCAGAACTGAAGGTCTTCAGGGTCTAAGGAACCCTACACCCTAAACCCTAAACCCTATACTATAGTAGTTTCCATTTCCTTTTCCAGTATCCCAATATAACCCCTAGATAACCCCAATATAACCCCTATATAACCCAAATATGACCCCAGTTGGCAGATCTAAGCCTTCTCGTGTGTCGTGGCTCCCGGCTTTGGCATGGAGAGCCTGCCGCCACATGGGGGAGTTTCTCACAAGAATCCCACACGGTTTAGGGTTTAGGGGTTTAGGGTTTAGGAAGGGTCCCCTTGGAAACCCTACTGTAGGGATAGATCAGGCTTCAAAGGAGATCAGGGGGTCCCTGTTCGGGAGTATGCAGTAGGTAGGGGTTACTTTGAAATACTCCCACGTGATCATAACGCTAAGGCACCACTTCCCACGAAGAGCATTGTGATTCAACAGTACCTTATCCCTTGCTGCAATGAACTTAATTGCTCCCAGCTAACCCCAGTCGAAGGACCTTACCTCTATACGAGCTTACAAGGAACCCAGGCGAGGCCACATGATGCGTTGGACAACTGTGCGTTTCCAAGGGGTGTGCGGGTCCTGCAGGGCACCTGAAAACAGTTTTGTCCATCCTGCAAAGCTAGAAATTGAACATGCCTAGGGTGTAAGAACTCACCCCAACCCACGAGTCCTGTACCCCAAATCCTAGACTCAAAGCCCTAAACAGTGAAGCCTTAACCCTCGCCAATAAACCCTTAATCCTAAGCCTTACATGTACACCCTGGACCTAATTCTGGGCCTCCCTAGATAGCCCCCATATTATGTTTAGGGTTTAGGGTTTAAGGGTTTAAGGGTTTAAGGGTTTAGGGTTTAGGGTTATAACCCCTATTTCCATTTCATGTTCCATGTTCTTTCCCATTGGGTTCTCTCTTGTTACCCTAGTCAACACACATAATGCTGGTAATGCTATTGGCTTAAACCCTACACCCTAAGCCCCAAGTCCTAAAACCCTAAACCCTAAAGTAGGGAACCCTCAACCCTAAACCCTAAAACCCTAAACCCCTAAACTCTAAAGTAGAGGCCCACATTAATTCGGGCCTCTTGATGGCAGCAACTTTGTCTGCCGGCAACGCGGGCGAGAAGAGGATCGTGCTCTCGGGATTCAGCTCTGCAAGAACCTCTAGGCTAGGGTTTAGGATTTAGGGTTCTCCGGTAACCCCTTTACATTAAGGAGCTTGAATGAGGAGACAACAAAATCAAAAGGGGAAAAGGGTACTACTGGGGTTCCTTGACCGCTAAGATTGTGTGTGGTTTTCTCGAACGAGGGGTTTATATGCATACGCAAAGGGGTAACAGGGATGTGTCGGGTCTAGGTTTTAGGGCAGATGCTCTTAGATTTGGGGTTCGGGCTTTCTCAAGAAAGTATGTTGAGCGCCCCTCAGGGTATGTTGGGATGGTGAAGGAAATGTGGGTGGTACTATATCCACGTAGACAAATATTACCTACATTGCGCCCAAAAGTCTGTAAATATTACCTACATTGGGCTATTTGGATACCTCGGGTATGGGTGTCTCTATAAGGGATATTTTGATAAACGCGCGTCTGCCCTAGGGCTAGGCTGGGGGGGATGCTAGGATTAAACAGGGACGATCATGTGCGGATCATACGTAGAATATGGGGTTATATGGGGATTATATTAGGTTATATAGGGGTTATATTGGGATAATGGACAAGAAAATGGAAGCTACAATTTAGGGTCTAGGGTAGTTCCCAAAACTAGGGTCCCATTTTGGTACCCCTAAACATTAGGTATCGAAATATAGTATACAACCAAAAGGGGCCCATTATTTTGAGAACAACCCATACAGTGAGTGCATGCCTGAATGAAACCTGAGCTTGATAAGCATGGCCACAAGCACTGAGCAGCAGGAGCTTTCTCGAAATATAGCTAGCCATTGGAAAAATCAGGGTTATATTGGGGTAGAAATAAAATCAAACCTACTAGTCAGGGTGCGTAACGGATGCTGATGCTGCCTTACAGAATGCTTCTTGGGTGTGGTATTCTAAGAATTTTGCTGAAATCAAGTGTCCCTTTGTTGGGAGGTTGTGGAAGTTGTGTCTGAAGCTCTGAATGAGGCCACGCACCTCAGGCACGTTATTTGGATTCACATCCTTGGAAGCTGCCAGCATGGGTAATAAATGAGCCCAGGTTTAGGATTCAACTAGGGATATTACCCCAGAAGAATGGAGAATGAAATAGACAAGAAGCTGGAACATGAAACGTAAGTTGGGCTAATATAGGGAGATATCGGGAGAAAGTAATGAGGGGCCGACAGAATTTCCGATGCTATATTTCCGTCTATGTGAGGTACCCTGTGCTATAACTGTCTCTGGAATCTCGGACAGCAATGTTGGCAATTGCTTGTGCATTTGAAGTAGTTCTTGAAACTGGGGTCGCCCCCTTCAAGGAACATCTATGGTTGAAAGACAGTACCACTGCTAGACTACACATGTTCAGCATTGCGATCTTAAAGCTATTCCTGGACAGCCTAGACGTGAGCCTCAACAAGAGTCTAGTTCATCCGGATGTCGAAAAACACTGACCCCCCCTCCTCTGCCTATAATTTCTTACACATATATGCATATAAATGCATATGGA